CTGCTTCTCGTAATCCCCCCCCTCCCCCTTATCTCACGCACAGACACACAAAAGCAATATCCTAACTCTATGTTTTTTATTTCACGACATGAATTTCCTTCTACAGTTACACTGAAATCACAGCATTGCAACGATTACAGGATTAGAGAGGTTTTAAGTCAGATTTTCTGCAGGTTTATCAGTGATTCCCATCCACAAGCAACACAAACACAACCTGCCCCTGAACACGTACAGTACAGCAATCATAAGCTTAGTTTCGGGATTCCCAGATTTGCCGTTTTGCAGCTTAAAAGCTTACATTGTGCATTCAAGAGAATCCCCTTATTTCTTTACTATTCTTAAATAAATACAAAGTTAACCCGAAGAATGGCAAACAACATAGCCTTATTTCTATGCATCACGCAGGGAACAGGATAATACATGTCTTAAAAGATAATTCTTAGGCAAATATGAAATTCGAATGTGAATACACACATATACGAGTGTGCAAACACACACAACCACTCACAGACACACACTGATATGTACTCACAAATGTATAAACACACTGACATATCAGCACACACAAACACACGCGCACACACGTACACACACATACATACATACATACCGAGAAACACGCACACGCATGCGCGCGCACACACAGAAAGTCACATCTTAGATTCTTAGATCAAAACAATTGTACAACTGTCTATCCTCTTCCCCCCCCCCCCCCCCCCCCCCCCCCACCCCCCCTCCCCCCCCCCGACTGTTTTCCTCGTCCATACCCCCCCCCCCCCCACTCCTCCGTTCCCTTATGCTTAAGGCCCTATTTAGGAAGCAGCTTTGTTAAACGTGGCTTTAAACATGGATAAATAAACGCCATACGTGTATCTATAACATAAGTTGCAAGAGGCAACAGCAGAATGTCATAATTCCACCACCAAGCCAAACTTTCAAGAATAGACCTAAACTCTGATGTGTGAAGTTACTTTGGCTTTCTGCTCTAAACCTGTGAACTTTGCTTAATTCCATCTCTTAAGACAAAACGACTCCCTCAAATGCCAAAGGAGACTTTTGTGTGTAGGAATTTCTTTGAAGCGTTAGCATACACGGTGAACAATATATTGCTTAAAAGACCTTTGAAAGACATTAGATATTCTGTATTTTTGTCACCTGGGTCAGTTTTAATTCCTTCTCGAAACAAATAGAGCGTATTTAAGACTAATCTCTTTATCTCAAAACAGAGAAGGAAAAGGAAAAGTATGTTTCTTTGATTAGGTAAAGAGAAGCACATCGACACAAAAGCGGTCATTTAGTGTAGGGGAAGATTAAGACAGACAGAAAGAAGCAGGGAAGAAAATAGAACCTACCAGTGATAACTCCCAACAGCCCACGTTGTGTGTTTACGCTAAGACGTTCTAGCATTATCTGTTGTTGAATAGTCAATCTCGCTGCCATATTCCAACCCACAGAAGGGACGCGGTGAGGGAGTGGAGAGAGAACATACCGAAGGTGGACGACACTCGTGGCCCCACTTTGTCCATTGCTTTGTTGTTTTTTCAAAAACAGTTTTAGTAAGCGTTTTACGATACTTGCAACACAATAAGGTCATATAAGTGCTGAAGATTAGAGGTGTTACAAGAGAGTAACAAACACACAAAAGAAGGAGGGGAGATAAAGACGATTGATGTTTGATAGGAAAGAAGAAGCAAACCACACCAGACAGCACCCGAAAACCACCAACGTCCATTGTTTCATCATTCAAAGTCAGATTCGCCAACCGTAGAAGTAGATGGTAGAAGAATACGGAGGGGGG